TTTTTGGTAATCAGCGACCCGGGCACGTATTTTTTTTCCAATTTGCCCCATTACCATAGGGGCGCGGATCGAGGACCGAGTCCTGGAACCATGCAAAAACTAGGAATAGAGTTGTAACAACTCTGCTACTTGGAGTTACTTTAGCTTTATTTATGAACAGACCCGGGCTTTTGCAGCATTGGTGCACGTTCACTTGGGACCGAGAGGGAAAGGGAGGGCCTGGATCCGCCTATGCCCGCTATTTTCACAGCTTCTATTTTTCGGTGGGGTTTATGAGACTCTCCGGTACATACCGCGAATATGACTAAGCGGGGTTGGGAAGAGGATGGTTTTGGAAGAAAACAACAGCAATCCCCGTCGGCGCGCAAAACCACCCCCCAGGAGTTCCCGGTCAGTCCGCGGTCTTCACCGACCAGTCGTCCCCGACGTCCCTCGTTGAACAGACTCCCTCCGTGATTCTTCGTCCGGTAACTACATCCCCCTCTTCTGCTTCCCGTTGTATTATTTTCGCCGGCTATTAACTGTTTCGGTATCGATGTGTATAAACCTTGAATCAAACGAATATGACAGACAGTAGTCGTAAAAATGTAAGAGTGCATTTACAGATTTGCACACAATGCCCTTCGTCTACTTGGCAGATTAGTCCTAATAGTAGCAGACATGCACAGCGGAGCTAACAAATTTTGTATATTTCGGCAATCGGCTCTTAAAATTCCAGCCTTCTAGCTTTTCCGGTTCACGAGTGAGCGATTTTCCCGCCAAAATTTTCACATGTCCATACGTGAAAACTGCACGTAATTGGGGGCTGAATTTGAAATCTTTGGGTCGGACATTGACAGGGGACATCCTCTCAAAATCTCAGCTTTTTAGTTTTCTGGTTCTTGAGTTAGCAGTTTTCCCGCCAAAACTCTCATGCACCCATACATGAGATGCAGACGTACACGAAACTTGACACCACATCTCCGTCTGGTCAACCAACACATCAATAAAACTTTAGCACATAAGTTTGTTGGGTCAGGGGTTTGAAATACCCAGACAGACGAACGAGTCACACACAAACACACACGCACACAAACGCACACACACCCACACACACACACACACACACACACACCTACACAAACACAGACAGACAGGGTCGTCACAATATGTGTTTTGGCTCACTGTAGCAGCGCTATAGCACTGCACAGCAAAAACGCTTAAAAACGAGAAGGGAAAGATAGCCGAAGTTGCTGAATGGATTCTTTCAGGAATAATGGCTGCTCCACGGTACACAATTGTGCCACCGGAAACAGTAGTTCCACGGTCTGAAATTCAGGAACGATTACGCGGCATGAACTATGATCTGTTGCTTCAGTTGATTTCGCCGAACGAAGTTGCGGTGGAGTTTGCGGCGCGATTCAATCTCATTCCGAACTCGATGAATTGTAGGCGTTGCGGTGCGCAGATGTTCCTATGGAGCAGAAACGGGCTAGACGGTTATCAGGTTGTTCTTTTCTCTCTGTCGTGAACGGAACCCTTTCTCGAAAATTGTTCTGGATCTGGAGGAAATCGAACGACTGCTCTTCACGTCTGAATGAAATGTGTTGTCACTGCGCCATTAGTCCTTGTGCTTCA